GCCTTGCTTAGATGTCTTCTCATTTTTGTTTTTGGTACTATCCTAGGTTTAATTCCTGGGTTGATACTTTAAAGTTGCTTATTGTAAGTATCTTTGTTGATATATTTAGAACCCTTATGCAATGATTGCTTCTCAGAGGTGTCTTCCATATATAGCTGGTCTTTAGGTTTTGAGTCTCTAATGGCTCTGAGGCTATCTCATTTTCATTAGACCAGGAAGGACAACTGATTAGATCAATCACATCTTAGCCCAAGTGATACAATCAGCAACACTATAGCATCAAGTATATCTTAGAAAATGACAATTTGTGAAAGTTATTAATCTATCACCTTTAACTGTATGAATTAAATCAAAATCGAGGACCAACCCAACATATGTTTATAGTGAGTAAACTCTTCAATATAGCAACTTTACCCTTTGGGGTGGGGAGTTAGAAGGAGTTGGGGAGGGAGGGATAGATAGGTAGAAGGATAGGGGAAAGTTAGCAGTGAGGCCAGAGGACACAGGTGAAAGAAGGGAAAAGAGAATAAAAGAAAAATAATGAAGGAATCAGAGTTAGGGCCAAAATAGGAACACAAAGGGAGATGAAGAACAATGTGGGATAGCAAGAGAGTGAGTGTACAAGAGAGAGAAAGGAAAGAAACGAGAAAAATAAAAAATTGAAAAGAGTAGGAAAAATAATAAGAGCAAAAAAACCCAATAATAATTTTGGAAATAAAAAATAAAAATGAAAATGAAATCTCTGCTGTCACAATAGATAACGTGGGCAGCAGTGTACAGATATAAGTCAGTGAGTTTCAGCAAGCTAGTCACAGACCCGTGGGATTCAGGCAGATTTCTGGCGGCAAGTCCCAAGTTGAGCTCCCTGACCTCCTGCAGGGTTGAACTCTGCAAGGTTCTACTGCAGGTTCCAGCTGCCCTTCACCTGAAGATAGTCCAGGTTCCGATGGGAGGTGATGATCCCTCCAACTTACCTAGTACTGTGGTCTGGTGTCCTCTGTGTCTTTGTAGTGTCGAATCAGGTAGCGGTATAGCCAAGAGACCCGGCGAGGGGGAGGGGGTCCTGCAGGTGCCCATGGGGCTAAGCCAATCATTGCCATGGGCATGGCCAGTGCCAAGGGGTCCTCACCTTCTGGCTGGACCCTGCTGGTGTGGTTGGCACAGGCTGGATGAAGCGGGGCTCCCGGTGACCTGGGACCTCTCTCTCCGGCGGGCTCTCTTCCCCCTTTTCTTAATCACCCTTCTTCCCCATACGTATCTAGAAAACAAATCTTTCAGGTGTCCTTAGTTCACCTTCTGCTTAAAGAAGAAGGGTGAGAAGGGGACCTGGTGGTGACAACATGGAAGAGCTGCACGAGTATTAGCAGTGAGGGCTTCTCTTTGGGGCTGTTGTCCACCAGCTGGGAGGCTGGGCAGGGAGGTGGGGGAGAAGGAGGGCCACACTGTCCCTTCTTGTGCAGTGTGGCTGTCCTACGGCAGCTGCAGGTCTAGGGACAGGGAGAGACCTCAGGGCTAATTTGCCAAGTCTTTATTCAATTTGATATTAAAGTCATTTAGGCATTATAAAATAAATTGGGATGAATTCCCTCTACTTTTATTTTTGGGAAGACATTATTTCTTTGATAATTATTGAGTAGAATTCACCTGTGAAAGCATTTAAACTTGGTACTTTCTTTTGAAAGTATTTTAATTATTTATTATTTTAATTTATTTAACATACAGTTAGGTTAAAATTATTCTCTTCTCTTTCAGTGAAATTTGGTAGTTTATATGTTTAAAAAAATTGATCCATTTCATTTAGATATCAAGTTATAAATTAAGTTTGTGCCACTAAAAAAATAGGGGACACCATCCATAAATGACTATTCCCTTTCTCCTTTGAATGTATGTGACATCAGTGGTAATCATCTGTCTTTGTTTATGGTATAGTAATTCATGTCTTCCTCCTATTTTTTTAGTTTCTTTTTTGCCTTGGTAGTCTACCCAATAGCTTATTCATTTTATTGAGGTTTTCAAACCATTAGCTTTTGTTTTGTGTATTTCTCATATTGTTTTGCCATTTTCAATTTTTTAATTTATCCTCTTATTTTTATTGTTTTCCTGCATAGCAAATTTATAAAGATAGATTTTAGAAAAAAATATGTTATCAAACTGCAAGGGAATTAAGGTCAAAATAATAACTAACAGTTAACTGGGAAAATCCCCAAACATTTACAGATTAAACAATAAATTTCTGAATAACATGAGTGTCAAGTAAGAAATTTCAAAAGAAATTAAAATGTATTTTGAATTGAATCAAAATGATTGATAATACAGCTAGCGAACATTGGTGAGATAGGGTAAATGTGATGCTACAATTGAAATTGATAGCTTTAAATGCTTTGAGAACAAGGGGTTAAAGAAGATCTAAAATTAATTTATGATTCCACTTTAGGAGGCTAAAGAAAGAGGAGCAAATCAAGACTGACTCTTTTTGTCTCTGATGTTGTTTCCAATATCAGGGATGAGTTGTCTTCAAATCTCATTACTCAAAGAAACTGTAAGAACTGAGGCACACAAGCAATTCTAGCCATCACTTTCTGAGATATAAAGGTTTTTCCTGCCAGCTTCTACAAGCATGGCCTTTTTAAAATTCCTTTTCTGATTTTCTGTTATTTTTCACAACCCTGGCTCTTGTGGTTGCATGCAGAATAGATAGAGGATGATTTTCCTGTGGTCCAATCATATCAGTCATCATCTGAAATCTGAAGTTAGGAGATGTGGCTTACACTGGGTACCATTCCCCAGAGGAAATTCATCATTTGACTAGGATGAATAAAAATCTTTTCTCTTCTAGAATAGGTTGCTATTTTAGCTTTGAACACTAGGGGGAGATAAATTACATAGAGAAAAAGAAAACATATCTGGGGTAGGACTTCATTTCCTAACAGTCGGGATTTGACAGGAATCAGCTTGCCTCAGCCCTTCTCCAAACAGCCAGGGGGCTATGACAGCAAGTTAATTAATCTGACAGATGAAATCTCAGGGCAGTGCAAAGTTCAGGCTCTCGCATGGGTATTGCTGACTGATTTTAGCCAGATTTTAGTAAGGACCAGGAAGAAAATTAAAGCAGAAAAATTTGAAAAGCTTTCAATTTGTCCAGAAAAGAAGCACATGTGAAACTGGAGCAAAAGGAGGTGTGGTTGCTGAAAGTATCTGATCATTATAGAGAAATCAAGTACTTTGAACCAGGTCAAAATCAAAGATGCTCTCGGACATTCTGGGAATCAGCGAAGTCCCACCGGTTGCAAACTCAAGGCTGCAGAAGTGTAATCATTTCATTTGAGAGCAAATCATTTGAGATGTTTGCTGGAGAAGGGCCTCCTAGTTAGTTGGTTCCCTAGGATTCATTTCATCATTCTTATTCATCCAGGTATTCAGTGGTCCCTGCAGTCATGGTTTGATGAGGAGCTGGCCACAGCCCAAAGCTGGCAGGAGACCCTGGCATCATTCGTGTGATACTAGCTTTACAGGCATGCAGAATTCAAGAGTTAGTCACAAAGGCTTCCTTCTGGATGTCAGCAGAAGGCCTGGGATACCATGCAAAAATGTGTGATACGGTCAGAGTTCCTGCAGGATCCTCTGACAGTGTGACACATGAAACTGTGGGAGTGAAGCTAAAATTGTAGTGGAGAAACCAGTAAGTTAGAGAGGCCAGGAATGCCGAACATCTGCCAATGCACTCTCCAAACTAATCATATGAATCTAGTATTACTTTCATACAAAGACTTGATAAGAACACAACAACAACAACAAGAAGATCCGTATTCTTGATGTACACACATGCAAAGATACTAAATTAAATTCACACAAATTGAATTCTGCAGCACATTAAAATAACCATATACAGCAGTTAACTTGGTTTCATTCCAAGCATTCAAGAATAGCTAAGCATATGGAAATCAATAAATGTAATGCAGCACACTAATAGGATGAAGGTTAAAAATCAGATAATCTTCTCCATAGGTGTAGAATAATCCTTGGATATTATGTTCTGAACCAGGCAGAAAAGGTGGCTTATTGAGGCAGGACCTTAAATGGTATGTTCTTGTCCTTCCTCTATTTCTCTGCTTCCTAGTTGCCATGGTTTAAAGAGCTTTCTTTCAGCAAGAGCATCCATCATTCCATTTCTGACTTGGACCCAGCAACCATTGAATAAATCTGTGAGCCAAATAAAGCTTTAAGATGTAGGTGTCAGGTATTCCATCCTAGCAATGAAAAAGTGACTAATACAAAAACAATGGTATCAGAGGAGTTGGGTCATTGCTGTAACTATACCTGACCACATGGCTCAGCAGCCTTTGAAACTGGCTTGTTGGAGGAGTTTGATGAGAATAAGGATAGAGAAACCACAGAATTCTGTTAATAAAGCCTGATGGATGATTCTGGTTGGAACTCAGACCAGAGGGCTAATGGGAATGTGCAAGGTCAGGTTCATGAGATTTCAAATGGAAATGAAGATTATTCTGTGAGTTGAACTATAGGCCATGCATGTTGAATTTTGGCAAAGAACTTATCTTGATTTGCTCGTGTTCTAAGAATCTGCATGAAACTAAATTTAAAGCCAGCAGACTAAGTAATCTGGCAGAGAAAAGTCTAAGCACCTCAACATTCATACATGGGTACTGCTAGCTGCTGTTAGCCAGATTTATAGTAAGAATCAGGAGCAAAGACCAAAGCTGAGGATTTGAAAAATGTACAGTTTGGCCAGAAAGAAAGTACATGTAAGCTTGAGGCCATGGAAACTGGTTGCTGAAAAGATTAGAGCCATCAAAAAGAGGCCAAACACTTTGGACTGGGACATTGGAAAAGATATCTAAGGGTATTTTAGGAAGTGACAAGATCCTACCCATTGCAGGCTCAAGGAAGTAAAAGTGTGAATTCTTCTGAGGAACTTTACTTTAAGAGACCCCTCCCCAGTAGCTCACTGCTCACTAGGGCTGCCTAGGGAAATATATTTCTCAATTCAGCTCTCCAGGCACTGAGTGGTCACTGTAGCCATGGTCCAAGCGGGGCGAGCTACTGCTAGAGATGGTGACAGATCTTGGCATCAGCCACATGGTGCTAGTTTCATACCATTCAAAATGCAAGAGTTTTAGGATTGTGGACACTTCACCTACACTTTGGAAGACCTGGGATACCAGGGAAATATGTGTGACAGGGTCATAGTCATTGCAAGGATCGCCTGACAGGGTATCTGTAGAGTAAAGCCAAGCCTGCAGTGGAGATCTCCAGAAGTAGAAGATGCCAAGAACCAGAAACATCTTCCAAGGAAAGCTACAGCAGAAAGTGGAACCAGCCCAAGAGAAATGTCATGTGGACATCAACCAGCCAGGGAACAGAGCAGTGCTGTCCAAGCCCTTTGGAGTTCACATCTCACCACCACATGTGCTAGGTGATTGACATGGAGCTATAGGTCTAATGTCTGCCCTGTTGAATTTCAGTGTTGCTTTAGTTTGATTCTTTTCTATTCCTCTATTCATTCCCATCCACCATACTCTTATTTTAGTTAAAAACATTTATTAATTGCTTATAATTTGCAAAGTCTTGCTTTGGAAATTGAGAAGGATATCAAAATATATAATGTAATTTCATAAGTTCCTCATGACCTATGTCAAAAAATAATATATACACCTGTTATATAATACAATTATATAATAATATGGTTGAAATATGCAAAGCCTTCTGGATAGATAATCTCTTACATACAAAGATTAATGAATAAATACAGTGGTACAGGACTATGTAACTATGGACAAGAAATAACTGCTCTCAGAAAGCTTCTAACATGTCCTGAGAGTTTAAGAACTGTGGACTCCAGGATTGGGATGTAAAAGTTTTTCCAAATGCATAAAATTTTAAAAAAGAAACACTAGAATTAAAATGGAAAGAGATCACTGTCAGTCTGGGAAATTAAATAAATGAGTTGATCCTGCAGGTCTTTTGAGGTCCGTTTATCCTATTCTCTGAGGGTTCCCTAACCAAATGACCCTTTAGCATGTTTCCACACTCCTGTCCTCAATAATATAATCAGCACAAGTTAGATTTTCACTTAGGTGTATGCTTACTTAGATGTGTACTTTAGTTATACTGAAGAATATAATTTGAAAGCAAAATCTTCATCTTCATCTTAATTTCCTTTGAACTCTGTGGCAAATAACTATTATTACTGAAGAACCCTGAAGTTAGGTTCCAGTTTCCTGCCCATATGATACAGGCCTGAGAAAAAAATACCCTGAAAGACAGAACTAGGAGAGAGAAAGCGGGGGACCAAGAAGACCAATGCTGGTGCAACAAACAAAGGCCCTGGTCTGTCCAAGCCACTGATTTTTATTGGCAATCAATTGGGGTAAAGAAGAGCTATGTGCAAAGGCAGTACTATATGTGAGGAGGTGCAGTCATGCTGTTTCTATGGAAATTAATGTAAGCAAGGCTCATAAAAGGCAAGACAAAGCATTCTCGAGTTAGGAACAGAATAGACAAAATATATGGATGTAATTACAACTTTTTTTTTAGTTAGAAGGCTTCAGTTGTGGGATAGAATTTGGGTGCGAGTTACTCTGACCTTGGCATGTAGGCTTTGGCCAGACTCGTTTCTATAAACAAGCCAGTTGTGGGGTTAACTCTTTACAGCCTGCTTTGAGTATAATCAATATTACAGTACCCTGCGTATCGTGAAAAATTTACAAAATATTCTTGAATGTTGTAAAATGTTTTACATTGCTTAACAGTGCCTTCAGGAATGGTGCTTTACAGAAAGGTTATGGCATTCTATGACAGTGCCTCTTCTCCAAGTTTAAGGGATACATGTTTATTTTCTTTTTATTTTATGCTATGAATTTAGCATTAGTAGGAGAAACATTAAGTCCTACAGCTCCATCTCCAGGATGTGAGACACATGATGGTGGGATGTGGGCCCCAAGGGTGTGGGAAGCCCTGCCACTGTAGCTTTGCTGGCTACACCCCACATACCCACTGTCTTGGTTAATCCTCACTGCCTGCAGCTTCCTTTGACAGATGTTGCATGTTCCTGGCATCTCTAACCTCCTGGGCTCCCCATTAAAACTTCAGCTTCACTCTCACAACGTCACATATTTCTTCTCAGGGCCACTTGCAAGACTCTAATCCTGCCACACATTGAGCGGTCTCCCAGGCTTTTCTCTGAAATCTCAGTAGAAGTCTTTATGACCCCAGAACTCTGGCATTTTTCCTGCCTATGAAACCAGCATCATGTGGACAATGCCAAGACCAGATATCAGTGTAAATTGTATGACCCAGGCCCACTTGCACCTTGCTTAGAAAAGCCTCTGAGTTCCTGGGTGGCCAACATGGAGAAACAAACCCTAGGAAAACAATTCCTTAGGCAGTTCTTGGCAAGCAGTGTGCACCATGGCTCTCTTCTCAAAGCAAAATCTTGCAAACAAGTTTACTTTTTTACAGCTCTGAGCCCATGATTGGTGGGGTCTTGTTGACTGCAGAGATGCCTGCAAAGAATGTGTTTTAGTTTAGATCTAAAATGTCCTTCAAAGTCTCATGTATTTGGTGGGTGATTGTATCATGGGGTGCTATACTTACCAGTGGATTCATCAATTGATAAGTTCAAGAGTACTTGTGCTGTTAGGAGCTGGGGCCTATTAGATCTTTGGATGCATGACCTGGAAGGGCCTGTTCTTGTCCCTGGCTCCTCCAGTCCTCATCACTCCTTCTGCTTCCTGGCTACCAGGAAGTGAGCAGTTTGCTTCAGCCATGCCCTTCCACCACACCTCCTCCATGTTCTTCCTTAATTCAACCACCTCTTATTTTTGGTACATATGCGCTCAACAATATTTGGAAATTACAGATAGTGGTACAAATGTAAACTGCATATTTCTATTTTGTTATCGATGGAGTTGTGTCTTAAGATAGGTGACTATGAATATAATTGCTGGGTCAAGGGGAAAGTGGCTAAGTGATTTTGCTAGGTCTTGACAACTTTCCCTACTGAAGTGTTTTACTGATGGACATTCACACCAGCAAAATATGATAATATCCATTACCCCTCCACCCTTATCAATGGAATAGTTATCACATATTCTAATGCTGGATTCTAATGTTGGATGGGTTAGAAATTGTATCCCAATATTTTAACTTGAATGTCTATAATTATGAATAAGTTTAAACATACTTTTCATGAGGGATATTTTTGATGTCTTCTTGTACCTGTGGTATCATTATAACATCTTTTGATGAATTCGCCTCTCATATTTTTTGTCACTCTTTCTATTGTATTTTTGGCTTTTGTCCCTCAAATTTTAAAAGTTCTTTCTGCATTAAAGATATTTTCTCTTTGCCCATGGCCTATGTTATGAAAATTTGCTCCCGGATGATTTACATTCTCTCTTTGCCTGTAATGTTACCCGATCAAGTCAAGTATCTTCTGCTGCCTGTAGGTTTAATTGGAAAGCCTGTTTCCAAAATAAATTTAAAGGTGAATTCACTCATACTTTCTTCTAGTATGATTCTCTTGAGTTTTTCTTTCCTTTACTTTCATTCTTGTATTTTTGCTGTTCTAGTCCCACCCCCCACCCCCCACGAAGTTCTGCTATTGGTAGTTTGTCACTTAAAATTGCCTGTCCCTTTCAATCAGGTTTTTCCCACAAGTAAATTTCCTACTTTTAAATCTCAGGCCTGACCTTGAAGATTGTCCTGTCCCTGCAGTTGGGTCTGCCCTGCTCTGATTTGTCCACTGCTGTTTTACCTTCTCACAGGCAATTTGAACTTCACCTTTCTGGGGTGGCTCCATCCACTCTTAGGTTCTTTTGCTACTGTCCCTCCTTGTGGGATTCACCCACAGTTTTCCTCAGTTTACCTACTTGGTAGAAATGAAGAAGAAGCCCTGGGGAATGAAATAATGCTTTGTTAATTTTTCTCTTTTTAACTTGAGTTGTTTTAGGGTTCCAGCATTGTCTTTCTTCCAGTAATACTGAAGGGTGAGTTTTGTATAGCTAATTCATAGCTGTGAGTTATTTAACCTGATTGAGGTTGTTTAGAATACTGCTGCCATTGTCTACAGCTGCCAGGAAAACCTCTGTATTTTTAGATTCATTGAAAATGCATTCATGATTTTGACTCCTCATAAATGTGTTTGCTATCCCACCAATAAAGCATGATCCATCTCCAAGCACAATTATGGTGACAACTGTGCTTTTTGTGGAGTTCTGCCACATGCTAAGAAGAGTGATGGTCACTTTACATTCATGGTTTTCTTTATGTCTTGAAATAATTTTGCAAAGCAGGTTTTATAATCTTCATTATAACAATAAGTAAACTGAAGCACAGATGGCATGAGAAAAATTTTCCAAGCCCACTCAGCTGGCAAATGAGAGAGCTGAGATTCAAATGATATCTTTCCTACTTCAATACCCTGCTCTTCTAACCAATTCATTCATTTCATCTTCCAACAACTGATGGGTGGATTTCATCTGTGAAGGAGGCCCTGCTGTTACTAGATTGAAATGTCCATGTCGCTCACCACTTGAAGTGACATTCAGGAAACAGGAGCTGGTAGGAGGAATCAGATTTATTCAAAAGAAACAAGAGTGATCTTTGCATCTCAGCGTCCTATCTTGAGGGAGCTCAGGGACATGACAAGATCTTATGAGTAGGAAAGAGGGGTACAGTGAGACAAAGTCCTGGGAGTTTGTGTGCTAGCTGGGTTCTTCATCATCGAGGCATATGTGTCATTTTCCTTTCCCTCCAGGTACCATGATGGTCATAAGCCTCCTGGGATAATTTTTTAAACAAATAACTTTTCTATGAGATAACTCATATGCTTTACATTACTTAATGATACATCAAATGTATTTTAATTGCCATAGAACTAAAAGAATGAGGGAGATTTTCACAAGTTATCAGATGTTCTGGGACCTAAAGAAAGATCATTTAGCAGTTAAGATTTTAATGTCCTAGATAGGGCTAAAGGCTTAGGGAGAAGTCAAGGGGTATGAGGAGGTTGGAGGTAAAAGACAATTTTAGAGGAGCCCTCCTTACACTGAAAGAAATATAAAAGCTTCATAGCAGCTCTGGAAATTACCATGCCTGGCCAGTGTATTTCCTCTCCTACAAGACAGGAACTTGGACAAACGTGACCTTAGAGCATTCACTATCAACTGTGGGTCAAAGAGAGGAATTCTACCAAGTAACTGCTAGAAACTTGAGGTCATCAGAAACACACAGAAAACTAATAAATCGGTATTTTTTTAAAAAAAATTAGTTTTATAAGCTTTAAACATTCAAATTGTCTGTCAGCATATTATTTCAAAATATTCTGTATGTGGTTATACATCAGCAGGATATAGTTCTCTAAATTTCATAAAATGATGTTGTGATTACTAACCCGACTCCGTCTTCTGCCTCAATGCCATTTTGTACCTGTGCTTGAACAAAGTGCTTGTGCTTGAACAAATCACCCCAAACCCGCACATCCTGCTTGGCAGTAAACTTGCTGCAGTTGCAGGATGTTCTGTAGCTCACCTAGTGTGTGAAACTTCCTTGTGCCCCCCCACACTAACCTGGCATGGGTCTGCTTCTGTAAGATTCGACTTGTTCTCCCCTGAGCCTTCCCCAACTGAAAGTATGATTTAAAAGAAGAAATCAAACTGCTTCCCATTGCCGAAGAAACCTTCCAGGAGCTAGCCTCCCTCGGCCACTTGGCTTGAGCCTATAATAAATGGGCTCAAATCTGGCAGAGTGTGGTGCATCTCTATTCTAACTCGCTCGTCCATAACAATACTATGTAGGATAATACCGAAAGAGACACTTAAGTTTAATATCTGTTTATTAATTCCTTAGTGATTTTTTGTACTTTCATACAATCTTAAGGTATGAGTATTGATCAATTCAAAAATCCAGAGTTGCCACTTGAGCACAATAATCATAGCTTTAATTTGAATTTACTTTTAAAATGAATGGAAAAATTTCTAACAAATGACCATCAGTGCAAAACACCAGCAATGATAAAAACTGATTATAGTTATATTAATTTTTAAAAAATTCACTGGTGATCAAATTTAGAGTTCTTGAGAATTTTTACTGAAATGATTCAATCACCGTTTCAAAGAACTCCAGAAATCCTTTCCTTGCAGCTTGTGTCATCATTAAAATTTTCCATATACTCAAAGTTAAGGAACCTGGAAAATACACAATGATTGTACATAAACTTCTGTGAACATTTTAAAATTCCATTTGGCTATATATGATTGATTGTCTTTCACTTATTTTCTACTAGTTATTGAAAAAAATCATAAATTATGAGAAGAAAAATAAACAGCATACCTTTGTTACAGTGTTAACAATACCACTTGGCAATGTCTCATCTACTACCAACTTTATTTCATCTTATCTATGATTTTAGTGCTGAGATCATAAGTTCTGCAAGATAATCATGCCTAGAATGTCATTGCTTTATTATTGGCAATAGCTTTGATAAGGTATTATAAACTGTAACAGCTAATGTCCCTAAGTATGCTAAATTTATTCAGTGAAACTGCACATCTATTAGGCAAAATGAACTCTGTCTGTTCATTTCCTGGGATAAATCTCTTAGGAAGATTTCCACAGATGGAAGGAGATGCATTCTGCCACTCATTATGTGAAAGAAAGCAGCCTTCGACTGATATGTCACATCACGGCCAGGACACTAGTAATAAGAAACTTCATGTACCAAGTCTCAAACATGAGTGCATGCTTTTGCTACTCTAAGCAGTACCAAGGACTTTTTTGGACATATTTAATTTGTTCATGTCAATTTGCTTCATTTACATCTTTAAGATTAAAAGTTTTCCATTGAGAAAATAATAATAGAATAATCATGCTTTTAGTGTGGCTCAAAGTTTCAATGCATGGGTGGAAAATGGGAATAACATGGTAATTTTCAAACTTGTAATTAAATAATTATTCTAAGTTTTACTCTGCTAGGAAATTCAGTGTGTGAAGTGATGGAGCAAGAGACATTTGCCTTGACTAATAGTGTGTGATCTAAGGGTTGAGATAAGTCCAACTGATAGGAATTACATTAATTATGGCAGGATTCTTTTAAATTCCTTTATTTTCTTTTAAATTAATAGCAAAGTAGGAAGTTTTTTAAAAGCAGCTCTGATGAGCAAATGAAGCATATATGTCGGTATGTGGAAGGAAAGTATACTTTATGTGATGTTGCACACTCCAAAGTTCAATATGGAATCCGGATAACCAATGAGGCTATGAGTGTGAGAACCATGATTGTGTGATGATGCTGCCATATATATAGCATGATGGTCATTGCTTAAAAAATGTAAAAGAGGCCCGTCAGAAATCATGAGTTTCTTTTTGGAGTCTATGCTATGAGTGCATGCCTCCAATGGAATTAATCTTTGGGCTATCACTTCAAGACAGTCTTGATTATTCAAACTATTTTGTTCAATTCTTACCTGTGACTCTATTCATGTCACCAATAATATTTAGAGCCACCACGATGATGTTCTGAAGCTCAGTGAAGTTACTGATGAAGGGGGCTATGTCAGTACTGTTCAGGATTCTTGGTGGGAGGCCCTTCTGGAACGTATATGCTCTAATCAACGTGGTAGGAAATTGAGAGGCAGCTAAATAATTCACAGTAATAGCCCAGTTCACCCCCAAATTTTCTTCTTCTTTAGAATAATACATAAACCTGAAACAAAATGGAAAATATTCAATTATGATTAGTCACCTCAGAATTTCAACTTCACTTTCCTTAGAAAATATCTCTTCCTAATAAGCAAATTTAATACTGTAACTATTTAACAGTATGTTTTATAATGTAATGACTTTAGTCTATCAATCAGGAGATGTGAAGGTACCTAATTAAAAATGAAATTCTAGGATAAATCATTCCATCTCTTGTTAATATTTTACTTTGCATTTTAAATTTTCAATTAGTCCATTTTTACTTGAAAACCATATGATGAGATGTAAGGATATGTTTAAATATTATTGTTGGCAATGTAGAGATAAACATCAAAGATATATGTCAAACTTTTTGCTGAACTCAGGCATTTTTTTTTTTTTTTTTTGGTACCAGGGATCAAACTCTGGTCCTTGCGGTTGCGCAGCTGGCGGCGAAACCACTGAGCTAAATCCTCGGCCCTCAGGCATTTTTAAAAAATTCTTGATTTCCCGAAGCAGGGAAATTCTCAAAACATTGAGCATTCTAGTGAAATGGAGTAATTTTCTTGTTAACTTTCAAAATAATTGGAGTTGTTTTCTACTAGCGAAAGTGTCTATAAGGCTGATGTTCTAACTCATTTTTGTAGAGCAAATGATTACAGTGAAGAGTAGTAAATAGATTTTTGTCCGTTTGACTGGTTTTGCAGTACTCAAGATTAAACCCAGGTTAGTCTACCACTGAGCTACATCCCCAGACCTTTTTCATTATTATTTTTCAACAGGGTCTTGCTACATTTCCCAATCTGGCCCCCAATGTGCAATCCTTCTTCCTTACCGGGAAAATAGCTGGGATTACAGGTGTGTGACACTGCACCCAGTAGTAGTTGTATAACAATGTAATTCACGGCTACTGGCTCTATAAGCCATCACACCATGGGGACAATTACTAGAAGTTTTCCAAACATTTTTCTTTCTAGTGAAATGTCCACTGCTCACATGGCTCACTGACAGTGTTCTCTTTCAAATCTCATCTCAGATATCAGCTCCTTTACTAAGTTTTCCAGGCCCCATGAATTGAAATCAGTCACTTCCTACTCTTCAATATTCACAAGGCACCGACTCCATAGTTAAAGATTTGTTATATTAGATCACCTTCTAATTTCACAAGTTACATCATCAGTTTTAATTTGCCAGAACATATGCGGGATTCACCAAACACACCATGTTTGTATTTTGCTCATCAGTGTAAGGTAAAAAATGACATAGACCAGAGAATGCATTGTTTCTGCTTGACTCCAGTGCAGGTGGGATCCTCCCTACCTCCCGCCAGAGGGTGGAGTGCATAGTGCTTACATTCCTCATGTGGACTTGGTACAGGTACACAACACACCTCTCTTCATCCCCTTGCCCTCCCCTTCTTTCCCTCTCTGGCCATCTCTGGATTCCCTTCCCATTTGAGGAAACTCTATCGCCTTACTTCCTGTTTCCTATCTGTTATTTTCCTCTTTATTGATAATCTTGTTTCTCATATAAAAGAAACCATGTGGTATTTAAGCTTGAGTGAAGCGCTTTTAATTAAAGACGTCTATTCTAAACGTTTAAATAAGAAAGTGTTCAAAACGTAATGCACAGGGATAAAGTGATTTATGTTTAAAACACGACTTCTTAAAACATTGATCTATTCTTGGTAAAATCTACAACTGAACAAACTTGAGAAGTTTTATTTTTGTCAAAGTAATTTCATGTGTTTTCTACAATTTTTTGTTAGGATTTTGTTATCTTAAAAAAAAGCCTTGTGAATTAAGGTTTACTTGGCATTTACTTAAAGTTTTGCCTTACAATTCTGGTTACATGAACAACTATTATGTGTAAAATTCTTTATTTTTAAGAATGTAATTGTCTTGATGTAGTGCATTTCATCACCATCATTGTTTTAATATGCTGCAAAGGGGTGCTTGCTAAATTGCTACCTTGTATGCGGTTTATGTTTATTCAACTGGCAGGAGCCTGTTCTCTCAGTCAAGAGATGCTCTTGCTGTACTACAAGATGGTATTCTTGGTTGAATAAACATTAATTGGTTGGTAGAATAAACATTAATTGGTTGGTAGAATAAACATTAATTCTTGTACACTGTATTTAGAATTTTCACAGTTCTGTTATTTTCACCTAAAAGATTCTAAAAGGCAGCCAAGTTGCTAAACCGTAATTCTTGGTTTTGATAAGAGTAAAAGATCTGCTCTCTTGACAATCGTAATCCACACTGGTTGGCTAAAAATGGGCTCAGTATAGGCTTTATGCACTTCTCTGACAGAACTAACCTTGTCACTGCCCCCTTTACTTAATGCTAGTCAGGGTTACCTCTTCAGAGGAGGAAATGTACAAGGTAGTTTAGCCAGTTAGCTTCTAAGAAGGCAACCAATAAGTGACAGGGCCTAAAATAGAGCTGGCTAGTTACAAAAAACATAGCAGACACACTGAGTTAAGGGCCAATTCAAGCCATACAGCTATCTAAGCTTAGAAATGAAAAAGCAAACACAGGAAAGAAGATAAACAGTCAAGATAAGAACCCTAGCTCTCAGGGAAGAAACTTCTTATGCAGAATACATTAAGTTAGACAACAGCTCCTCCACACCTGCAGCCTGGACTTCCACGAACTTAGAAACACAGTTTCATTTGAATTTTGTTTCCTGTGATCTCAACCAGTAGAGTAACTGCATTTCTTTAAACTCTGTGTTACGAAGCCTAAACCCCAAATGATTATTCTAAACCCACAAGTGATCACTGGACAACTACATGGCTTCTTGTGCTCTGCTTATCCATAAAAGAGCAAGACAAAGAAAGCACTTTGGCAGCCTGCTCAGGACCCTCCCAACTGGGAGCTGGTTTTCTCCCTATTCCTTATAAGCTTTGTCCTACCTTCCTTGGTTTTGTCTGTGATTTCATTCTTTGACTTCGTGAGATAAGGAGCTCAGTCCGCACAATGACAGCTCTTTCAATGTAAACATTGAAGTGTCACTGTGTCAACCCTAGCAAACATAAATAGAGCTACAAAGGTTGTAAAAGAAGTTTTTATGCATGGTTGCTGAAGAGCAAAAAAGCCCTTCCAACAGGTACAGCTGTGTGTCATGTATTTTCTAATTCTGGCTTTCTTTTGTATTTGACTCCACAACCTTTGGTTTTAATTCTGCAGCTCAGTGTCCATCTCCCTTTGGTCATGCTCTAGCTGCCCTTAGTGGAATCTGTGCACCAATCCAACATTACACACATAACAAGATGATGCAGCACCCCAAGGCCCTCAAGAGTGAGTACTGAACTAAACCAAGGAGGAAACTGTAACTTTCAGAACAAAATGGAACTTTAAAAGTTAAAGGGATTTTTTTTCTCTTTTAGGGGCAAGGAGCTTTTCCAGACTTCTGCAGGCCTAAGGTATAAACCACCACCTCTTCGTCTCCTCAGCTCAATAATTAGGCAATATGCAGATGCTGGCACTAATAGGTCAGGGTTCAGTTTCTTTTCCACGAGAAAAAGGAGGGAGTAGAAAAAGGCCTGGAAGGTTTGTGTTTCCTTTCCCCTGCCTTCTTTACTGTAAAAGATCTTTATCCCCTTGAATATAGTGAAATGGTGATTTGTAGCAATATGACGCCCTGTCCTCAGAGCTAATTTGGAATAAAGTCTTCTTCCTTTTCATCCTGTCTTTCATGTTAGTTTGGAGAATAGTGAGCAGTAAGAACATGACCAGGTGGTGACACTGACCCTGATTTGGGGGACACGAAGTCTCTGCTCATACTCACTCACCCTATAATCCATCACAGTAGGAGATGAAAGAGGTGCAGTGGGACATTTTGTTCAGTTAAGTGTTTGTAACTTTTGTTTCTCTCTCCTTGTAAGAACTTGGATATTGCTTTTGCTGAAAGCACTGGCTCCACCTGGGCCCACAAATGTCCAATGGTAACTGAAAACATGCTAAGAGCTTGGCATATCTGTCTTGATTTTGCATCTGTGCCTTTACTGGCCTATCATACTATTAACACTACATGTAGACATGCTAATAGTTTACTGAATGTTCACCTGAAACTGGCAATCCTCCCCCTTCAAGGCTGAGGACACCAAGATGAAGTAACTAAGATTTTTCAAGATATACAAGGAAGTCATAATCAAAAGCTCAGCAAGTTTTTATACTATTTACTGCTAGCTTTTATAGTACCCTGTTCCAGACAACCAAAAAGATGCCAAAATTCTCCTGCCATAGTGAAGTATTTTTAAGATTAACAGGGAAATCATAACCAACAGATTGTCAACCACTAGTGTTTATAATACCCAGTCCCAGACAACTAGAAAGGTGCCTACAAGTCTCCTACTGTTGTCATAAACCTGAAGGAGGACTCATTCATCACCCCAACTAACTCCATATGTTCCACTCCTGCCTTGTTCTTTCTGTGAGTCATTGCTTCCCTAGGATATCTCAAGCTCCAGGACAGAAAGTCTTACAGGCAAACATTTAAGAATTAGAAAAAAATCTTGGTGGAATTGATCTTTAGAATCCAATTTACGAGCCTCACCCACTGCAGGCAACACAGCATAGAGAGTGAAAGGGGACAGAGGCCTACCAAGCCACAGGGAATTTGACACTATTCCTGCCATTCACTAGCTGCTGGATTTTAATTACCTTAGAGAATCACTCAGGCACACCTGCAGTATCAATAGAAAGGAATGTTTTTGAAATGTTATATTACATGAAAGTAGTTACTACACCTTCCTTTTCTTACTCTTTAATATTTAAGTACCTTTAATTCTTATTATTTTATTTAATGCATTGCAGCATTTTTAATTTCATTTTTAAAAGATTTATTGATACCTACGGGAAAATGTCAAGTTAGAACAGAAGTCCAGGAAAATCAAATGTGCTAATAAAAAATGTTGTTATAATTAGTGAAGATGACATCCTACTAATTACTAGTAAATGGATGCTTTTCAATTAATATGCTTGTGATGAAATTTAAATACAAATTTAAAGTTATATCAAAATTTCTATTTTGTATGACTTCGGCACAATTTTTAAATCAAACTGTCCTGTAAAAAATTTTTTTTCAAATGTAATTCAGTGGCACAAATAGAAATAAATACAAAGTATTTGAGTATCTAAACCTTTAAGAGGAAGGAAATATATCTAAAAGAAAAAAATCTGTAAATCCAAGAACTTTCAATATTTAAAATATTCTTGTTTCCAAAGTTGTATTTTTCTATTACTTTATCTTTGTATGAAATATAACCGATGAAAACCTTTGCTGTTAATCAGAATCTTAAGGTTGACCCTCTCCCTCTCACTCCTCCTTGCCAGATGCTGATATCATCCGTGTTCCCCACGGCAGCACAGGAAGAGCACTCCCTCCCGATCCTCCTGTTCTGGGGCCTGCAGCCCTAAGGTATATCACTGCCAAGGGATAGTGCTAGGCACTGCCAGCAGATTAAGCTTCTTCAGTGTCCAATTTATTCGCCAGTTGCTAGAGACATATCAACAGGAAGTGAGGAGATCCCTGTGGATCAACTACCCCAGTCACTGACTTTGCAGAATGATAAAATAGGTGGAAAGAGCAAAACCCAGTGGAATATGAGGACTTAGACCTCTCCACCTGGATTCCATCTGCCTCCGCAGTGCCAATGAGCTCTCCTTTTGTTGGACCTGCTATCTCCCCTACCCAGGTGTTTACCCCGCACCTCACTCTGGGCACTGGATTTCGCCCCCAAGAGAGTGCACTTTACTTGCCAGTCAGAATTGTTTTTACAGCTGCACTTTCAGGTGTGACGCTGTGTGGCGTAGCTTGCTAATTATCTAGGCTGTCTTCTCTGCTAATCCAGACACCAGGTGATACTTTCTCAAACACGTATGACTTTGTTATATATTTAAAGTAGTAAAAATAGAAAAAGTTATCTACATTTGTATATTCTATTTTGTTTTCTATAGTTAGACAATTCCTTTCATGTTGTGTGTTTTTTTAAATGCAGTATTTTTTCTCACACTTTTTGGCCCCTCTTCATACAACGCTTTCTAAGTTACATCCTTCTAAAATATTTTCACCTAATCGATATAATCCCAAGTGGCTAATCACTACCACTCTCTAAGAGGAAAAATGCATAAATAAAACAAAAATATATGTAACTATATATATATATACATATATATAGCATATTAAGGAGCACTATTCATTCTTACCTATCTTCAAAAATTTTAATAGGATCTTTCAAGGATGCAGTATGTGCATTCCATGAGTATTTCAACAGCCCTTCAAAGGTGCTCAAAGGTGTCTGCAGATACTGAAGTAAACAGGAGAAACTTATTAGTATTTCAGCTCCCTGAAAATTAAACCTTATTCAGACAAACATTAGAGCAACATTCTCCAGGACAGGAGAATTTTGTTTCTAACAATTAATATACATAAGAGCTTGTTGGTGTCTAATGCTTTATAAGGAGCAAATATATGCATTAGTTTTAGCAAAGCATATCCATCAAGAAGTAACAAACTTCAAGTATATTCAAAAGCTCATATTTTATCAGTATAACAGGAAGCTTTTTGTCATTTTTTCCATAAATGTAGTTTAAATTATAATAAAATCTTAAAATAAGACAGATATTTGTTTAAATGTTAAATTTAATGTCTAAAATGAACTGATAATCTAAGTAGCTATTAAATATATCTCTTTATCATTGATTTTAGTCCATGCCTAAGTTAAATCAATGTATTTTATTTTCATCATAAAATATTTTAGTTCAGAACAACACATAATTATTTAGTTCTACCTAAATGTTATCATTTACTTTTTTGGTTGTACTATATTGATTTACTCCTCTAAAACCAATGCTATAATCACATTTCTTTTTAGTTCTCATAGTTGATCTAAAGTTCCAATTAACCATGCCAGCCAATTAACCTTATAGCAAAATATCCTGTATGCTTATGATTTGTGATATACTTTATTTGAAGTGAAAAGACTAGATAAATCTTGTGTTAATACTCTTCTTGGATAGTATGTATTATGGTTTATTTCTAAAATGTCCCTCAAAAGTCTCCTGCATTCAGTGGTGGCTGTTTCAGAGGCCGATTGTGTTATAGGAACTTTCTCTTCATCAATGCATTAATCTACTAATCAAATCATAATGTCATGGAGTAACTGGGAGGTGACAGAGACAGAAGGTAGGAGGCAGCCGAAAGGAGTAGATCACAGGGTATGGCCCTGGGAACTCGACCGGGTCCATGACTGCTTCCTCTTGGGTCCATGGCTGCTTCCTCTCGGGCTCTTTGCTTTTCTCTCTGCTTCTCAGTTGCTATGGGATGAGCAGATTTCTTCCCACTCACCCTTCTGCCTGATGCTTCTGCATTTCCACAGCCTCAAAGCGTGGAACCAGCTGACTGTGGATGTAAAATCTCTGGAACTGTGAGGCCAAATGCACCTTTCCTCTTCTACGCAGATATTTCTTGGGAATTTGGTCACAGTGACAGAAAGCTAACACAGTGTGTTTCAATGATGTGCAGTGGCCCGCCGTGCTACATATTATTAATGTATTTAACCTAGCAGTTAAGGAAAATATTACACAATGTAAAAAAAAAGACAAAAAGTTATACATCAAAAGAAATTTTCTCGCTATGTATTAAGAATATAAACTGTAAAATTTAAAGAAGGAACCTGGAAAAACATTTTCCACTTCCTAATTGTCTCAGGGAAGGAGGAACGACAGCCAGAAACATCATAGCAAAACCGCGTCTGGTCCCTGGGTGGAGGCAGAAGCGTGACTTGGTCTGGTGATGTGCCCATTATGCCAGAATCGAGGGCAGCAAGGAAAGGTAGTACGCTCAGGAAATAATTCATATCTGAAAGAACACAGAGTTTATCATTACCACAACCAGTGATAAATGTCAAAGACCAGAATTCTTAAGGAAAAACACACAGTTGAGGAAATGTGATAAAAGTTAGGCACTGGGAAAAAAATTATGAACAAAATTCACCTAAGAGTTTTAACTTCTGCTAAAAATTCTGTAATTATTTGTACGTATTATAGTTCCTGATATAATATTTTAAAACAAAAAGTAATTTCAATGGATTTTATAATAATCTTTCTTCAAAACACTAAGCAAAGAAGAAAGAAAACTATGAAATAATCCACAGAATGATAGAAAAACTTTACCTGAGGCTGTGCTGTGCATTGCAGTTTTTTCTGAAATATTCTAACTTGACTGTGGCTTTGGTGAATAAATATTTTCTATTTCATAGATGTAAGTTTAATTTGTAAGCCTAATATCACTAAGTCCTTGCTTTACGCTATTTTTCTAAAGCAAAATTTTTTATCTTTTCTGGCAATAGCTCATTAGAACAATAATTAATTGGATTGACAATCAAATGAGATCCTCTTTCTACCTACAGAATACCTATTCCAGTAAATTTAGACATCTTAACTGAGTTAGAGACCTAGGTTTATATTGATTCCCCTGGAAATGAGTGATGTAAAACATTTTTCCCCAGACACATGCAGACCTCTGCCTCAGTAGGATAGGGTTGCTGTCCAATCTACTATGACATCTGAAACAAAGTTCACAGCCAAGATCTGTGACCATGCCTATCACTGAATGTCTGAAAAAATGACTCAGCATAGCACGAGGAAAACACAGGATAAATCCTATGTGTGTCGCTCAGAAGATGAACTTTACTGTGACACTGTTTCTAATCACTCCAAGAAATTATTGTGTTAAGTTAGTCTCGTTACTGAAACACAAATTTGAAGAATTAGAAAACACCTTCCGGGTATTTTTGCTTTTAAGCCTATGACTGAAGCCTGAGATTACTGACTGACAAGATGAAGTACAGTAGCTGTTACTCTCTGATGAGTTTGAGTTTTAGTTTTAACACGTTTGATCTGAGCAAAATGATGAACCACAGTTTTCTTCCTCCCTCACTTCTCAACCTTCCTCGTTCCAAAGAATCCCTGCCACCTCTGGGACCTGCCAATTCACTGCCAGTATTGGTCCTCCAGGAGCCTGGTCCATTGTACTTTCTTGCTTCAGTTCTCCTATGAAAAACTGAATATGTCCTAAAAAATCATAACTGATATTGTGGCTGTTAAATCCTATAAGACAACATAGAAATCACTGGGTACAGTGTGAGATAGACTCATTTTTTAAAAGGAGTATTACTGACAAGGATCAAGGTATGAGATGTATATGTACTAATACCCCAGGATGAATATATTCATTGTATGTCTCAAACATATAT